GCCACCTCCTGCTGTCTCTAGCTTCACGTTTCCTGAACAAGAGGGAACATACATTTTTTGGGAGGAGGGAGAATTAAAGGGGGAGGGGGAGCTGATGGAAGAAGGTAGCAGAGGAAGCAAAATAGCTTGTTGTTGTTTGGATAGGCACATCTCAGATAAGAGTGTGTAGTTATGGCCATCCTGAAGTTAGTAGCCTTGTGGATTTAGTTTTAGTGGAGAGGTTTGAAGACTTGTCTGGGTGGGTTTTTTTGTTTTTTGTTTTTTTGCTTTCAGGTGGTAGGTTGAAAATGAAATATATATCCAAATACAGGAAAAGGCTTTGTGAACTCAACTTAGCGTGTGATCGGCAGAGAAAGTGATGGGTGACGTTGCCTCATGTTTCGGTCTTCTTACTCAAAAGGCCTGTGACTTCAGTTTTACTAGCTAGCGGTTGAAGCGTCTGGCTAGTGTTTACAAAAGGTCATTGACCACTATCATAGGATAGTAATCATATTGTTCATCTCTATTCAGTGTTAATTTATATCTATATCACAAAATACTTTTAAAATTGACACTTAGGAATTCATTTTTTAAAATAAGTCCAAATGTCGAGAGAACATGTTGTTATCCAGGCTTGTCCGTCTTGCATTCTAATTTAAACAGAATAATTCAGAGATGGAATTTCTTTAATAAATAGCATTACTTTTTCTTATTTATTTTCTGCGTTAGTGTTTTCCAATCCTGCAGGAGAGCTCACTCAAATAGATTAAAGATGCAGTATCTCTTCACAAAAATGTAACTTGCCATTCCAGCACTTAGACTGTCAAGTGCTACAGTTCATAGGAATATCCTGTTTTAACATATCTTAGTTTGAAAGGTGACAATGTTTCTCTGTCGTTGTCTATTTCTGAATGTATATTTTAGGAAAGAAGTTCTGTTTTTTAAAATAAGTCCTTTTCAAACTCCACTGACAATGCCAAAAGCTGCTAACTTGCTTGGGTTTTAATTGGAAGGTCATCTGCAAAATGAAACCATCATCCACACAAATATTTAGGTTTTTGTCCTGATTTTGCTTGCTTGTGTACAACACATTGAATAAGGAATTTTCCTCTGCTTCTTTTTTACCTTAGAAATATCCGGTATGTCAGGTCTTGTCTTCTCTTGTCTGTCATTGGAAGATTCACTGGAGGTCTCAGATGGGTATTGTGAGTTCTGTCAGCCTGCGAACTAAAGGAGTACAAAGGGCTGGATTTCACATATAGATCTCTTCTTCCAGCTGTTCATACTGCACTTGTTACACAGCTGATAATTCTTAAATAGTTGGACTAAAAATCACTTCCCTTTTCAATTAAGTTTCACCTGCGTGGTATCTTCAGTGCAGTAAACAAGTCCTCCAGTAGTCTATATAATCTGCCAGAAAAGACAGGGAAGCCCAGGATGTAATATAAAAAGTGCGCTGAGAAAATAAACCTTTTACTCCTTCAGTACAGACCGCAAAGGTATGTATGTGTGTTGTGAGAGGATATTCTGCATAACTTTGCAGGCCACCTTTTAAGAGTGATTTTACTTAGGGCAGCTAGATTGGGACCTAAACCACACAACAAGTTTTGGCCTGAAGTTGGCACCTGAACTGTAATAATATGCAGCTGAGACACACAAGTTGCCAATTTCACATAATTAATTTGATGGGTGGGGAAATCAGTCACTCAGATCTTATCTTTCCTTACTATCCCAGTTTCATTTCTGGCTTTTGTAATATCCCAGTGACTGTCTATTGCACTTAAACAAATTACTGTAAGGTGCTTAGATCTCCACATTCAGAAGTAACCATTTCAGCACCCCCTTTTTTGCTTTCTACCTCTTCTTGACAGCCTCTAAATTTAATTGCAGTTTTAGTCTTAAAAACTAGGTGCTGGATCCTTCGTCTCAATAATTACTCAAAACAGTCCTATTTGATTTCAGTGCAGCTACTCATATAAGTAAGATATAATATTAAGAATAACATTTAAACAAGTTTCCTGATGCTGAAGGATTTCAGTTCATTCAATCAGTCTCTTTTGTCGTGGTTTTCTTGAAATATTACCTGAGGGTGGTGTTTGAAGTTCTGAGCATTTGAGGCACTGATATGTATGGAATTCCCTCTTCTCTTCAAGTTTTTGTAAATAATCAGTGCTTATTTCCACAGGAATCACCATCATGTGATTATATCCTGAACAAAAATTGTTCCAGACTGTGGTTCTGAATGTATTAGACATAAGTTGAGATAGCAACATGTCCTGTAAGAACTTAGGGTCTGATTATGTTCCCATTGTCAGATCCAAGTTCTCATTGACTTCCATGCCATAAGATCAGACACTTTAAAGTAATTCATAAACAGTGATTCTACAAAGAGGTTAGATACTGTTTTTATCTACATATCCTTCAGCCTTCTAAGTGCAGCTGCTTGTGCACCTCTGCATTATCCCCATGGTAGTAGACTTGAGTTAGATTGTATGGTTTCATCTCTGTTTACTGAACAGGATGCATTTGTTTCTATGTCAGGTTTATCTAGGTGACACAACTAAATCAAAACTGCACCCCTTGGCACGTCAGAACAGGTTCAACACATCTTTTAAAATAGCTTTCTATGGAATTGCAGGCAAGAATGCCCTGTTTTTCTGCTTTCCTAATAAAACTAATATGGCAACTATGGTATAAGAAACCTTATGATTAAAGGAATACTGTGTCTCTTAAAAAAAACCTAAAAAGTGTGAGGATTTGCAGTTTTAGACCCTGTTATTTCAAAGCTTCGCTATATGTGTAGAAGGAGAGAGGCTGGTTGTCATTATAAAGTGTCCTCCAGCCTTGGTTTTTTGATATGGCTTTTTTAAAAATGTTTTTTGTCTTTTGAGAAAATTTCCAGTGGCCAATATCTGGGATTAGTAGAAGGTTATATGGATTTAATGTTTTTCAGTGAGATTTAGGCATGAATAAAGACTTTCTTAACTATGTCAATTCAAATGTAACTTGGAATGCCACTTAAAGAATCACTTGATTGAACTCATTAATATGAATGTCTGACACTAATACATGTCCAGTGGCACATGCTATGAGCTGGATGTGTTGCTACTCCAACAAGGTTATTGTTGCTTTTTTGTCTATTGTGGTTGCAGTTGTGGCAATTCTCCTGTGCTTTCTAGGATTCTGAAAGCCTAATTATCACTGTTTTGACTAGCAGGCTGGGATTCAGCATTTGCAGGGGCTGGTCTCCAGGTAGTGTAACGATGAAAGGATTGTGAGTTCAAACCTGCAAAACCATGAGAGTCATATGAGTAGACACTTTAAAAAATGTGATTACTTGTGTGAGTAAGTAGTATTTGTGTGAATAAAGATTTGCAGGTTTAAGCCATGTGCTTGAATCTCTAAAGTCCCCGTTAACGCTAGCAAAGAGATTAGCAGTGGTGCTGACAAAGTGTCTTGTTGCATCATCAGAACTAGGCCAAGGGAGAAGGTGGAAGATCGATAAAACCAAGGACAAATGAGGAAATGGGCCAGGTAGCTGGATTATTTGCTGCAATATTGATGGCTTATAATTGTTCTTATGCTAGGTCTGTACTTGCCCCATTAGTTGACATAGACAATCGCTTACCTTTTGATATGTCTGACTCTTGAAAGCTAGCTAGCTATTTATTTAAACATATATATATTTATAACTTATAATTTTGTCATCACAAAGCTTTGATATTTTTAATAGAAATGTTCTATATAGAAGTTTGTTCTCAGGGCTCCCTATTTATACTATCTTTATAGTGCGATGCATTTAAAGGGATGTATTAGGGCTGGGAGGGAAAGCCCGATGCCACTTTGTAACTTAGACATTGGCTGGTCTTGACCTGGGAGCCAAAGCTAGCATGAGAATTTGAGCCACTGCAGTAGGCAAGTCCAAAGAATCCCACCGTTGTTTCCTCTTCAGTCTCTTCAGGGTGGTGAAATGGTCACACAAGAATCCACAGCCGCTTTGCACATTAGTGACCTTTACACAATTCTGAGAACACTTATGCTTTGTGTGTATCAATGGAAGTGGAAAGCTAATTCACGCAGATTGTAGTACAGTGGTCAGTACACTTGTTCTCTGCTAGGAGTGGAAGAACTCATGTCTGCAAGAGCTCTGAAGTTTCTGGACAATCGCCCCGCATTTGGCCACTAGCAGCCTGTCACAGATGTTCCCCGTGATCCAGGGGCTGAGAATCTTTTGAATTAGTGCATTGGAAGAAGCTGTGCAGCTCGATACCAGACCACAGGATTGTTTCGATCACTGTGTCAGCATAACTTGCCTATTGAGCAGGCACACACGTTGTTCCCAGTAGTCTGAGTTTCAGAAGTTGGATTATACGATAGTGAGAATGGTGTCCAAAGAAAATACCTCATTCTTCTGCCCATTAGAGTGGCATTTTTGTCAGTTGCTAATATTTACTCCTAGGACTTTATAAAAGGCTGCTGGAATAATTGCATCCACAGCTGGATATTTTCATTCACAGATATATTGGATAAGATAGTTTAAAAAGGAAATAAATTCTCATTGTTCGGGGCATGACCCAGTCTCTAAATGTATCATCATTTATGGGCAGATTATTCCTCTGAAGCATTTGGTGCTGGCCATCGCTAGACTAATTAGAAGACTAGCCTGCCACTAGTCTGAGCCAGAGTGGCAAATCCTATGATCCTTGCAAGTAAAGCAAGCAGTGCATATTAAGTTTACATGTACATGGTTTAAAAAGTCAGTGACAAACTTGCATCCCAACTGTTTGTCATTACAGA